TCAAGAAGCAGGGCCTGGGTGTGATAAGCCCCCCCCCCCGCACTGCAATGTTGCCCACCAAGATGACACACTAAGCTTGAGGGTCGGGGGTAGCCGTGTTAGGCTGTAGCCACAACAACAAGGAGTCCGGTGGCACCTTACAGACTAACAGATTTATTTGGGCATAAGCTTTCGTGGGTAAAAAAAACCCACTTCTTCAGATGCATGGAGTGCAAATGACAGCTGCAGGCATTATATAATGACCCATGAAGAGAAGGGAGTGAGTTGCTTGCTGCACTCGGCCCCTCACGGCTGCTGGGGCGGGACTCCTGTGCCTGGCCTTGGGAAGGAGTGCTCTCTAGCGAGGGGAGCAGGGAACAGAGGCCAGACACTGGGGGGGAGGGATGGGTATCTGGGGATTAGAGCTGGCATCTGTTCCCATCTCTTATTCAAGTCTGGGGTTCTGTTCACCTGGGTTTTCTGCTATTACTTGTCTGATATTGGATTAGCATGGCTGAGTGGTTAAGGCACTCGACTACAATCCTGAAAGGGAGGAGAGGGGGGTCCGAGCTGTGCTGCCTTTCACACTGAAAGGCCACCTCCAGTTCACCAAGCTGCAAACAGGATGTCTGATCCATTGGGTTGGGGCACTTAGAGGTGGTCGGACCTGATGCGGACCACAGCACTCGCATACCGTTGGCTGTGAAACTGATTGATGTGCCTTAACCGTGTCAGCCCCATGAGCCTTTGGCTCAGGAGAGCTTTGACACTTCTTTACCCTGGTTCCCCATTTTACGGGATACCCATCACCCAAAATCATGGAAAGGCTGATATGGGATATGGTCAGTAAAAAAGGATAGTCACATAACTAATGACAGTCAACATGGCTTAATGGAAAATAGACCTTGTCAGACAAACTTTATATCATTTTTTATGCAATCATAAATTTGGTTGAGAGTACTAATATATGTAGACTTCTATAAGGCATTTGATTTAATCCCATCTGACATTTAACACCCCTCTCCCCCCAATATATAAGTGCATGCACCCATATTAAATGGATTAAAAGCTTGTTAACTGATAAATCACAAAAAATATGTGTAAATGGGGAATTGTCATAGGTGGCGGGTGAGTGGTTAGTGGGGTCCTGCTTGGATCTGTTCCTTGCAAATACTATTTAATTTCTTTGTGATCGGAAAGAAAATATAAAATTTGCAGATGACAGATTGGTGGAGTGGTAAATAAAGACTGACCTATCTCGCTTGGTTTGTAAGATGGGGGGAACTGTAACCTGGAATGCAATGACATTGAAAGACTGGGGTCAGGGTAGATAACAAATTGTAGCTAAGAGGGCAGATATTATCTTTGGATGTATAAGTAGAGCAATATCGAGTAGGAAGGTCATATTACTTCTGTATTCAGTATTAGTGATGCCATTGCCAGAATCCCATATTCTTAGAGTTTATTATTTGTGTTCAGTGTGTTGTGTTCAGTTTGGTGTTGGTGCCTCAAAAAGGATGTTAAAAATTGGAAGGATTCAGAAAAGGGCAATAAGAAAGATTCAAGACCTGAAAGACACACTTTATAGTGAGAGACTAGGGAAGCTAAATCTATTTAATTTATGCAAGAGAAGATTAAGAGGTTACTTGATTGCAGTATCTACACCCGGAAGAGATTTCTGATAGTAATTGGCGTTTTGATGTAGCAGGAAAAAGGATGAGATCCAGTGATTGAAGCTAGGCAAATCCAAACTAGAAATAAGGTATACATTTTTAACAGTGAAGGTAATAGATTGTTGATATAACTGACAGGCACGTGGTAGATTTCCCATCACTTGAAGTCTTCAAATCAAGACTGGATATCTTTCTAAAAGGTAGCATATTGAAGTTATGGGTTTGGTGCTAAAATATTTACTGATATGACAAACGCTTTGT